AACATTCGCAGCATACCCTCACAGGAACAGCTGCACATGGTCTTGGGAATGCTTGGATACACAAATTCTGCTGTCGCAGTGCACAGTATGAGGGTAATTCAGTGGTTTCTTACATTTCGCTGGTAGAAGTGGAATATGAATCACTCTTTCAGATAGTCCCGCTTGAAACCTGGTATGGGTGTCTCCAATTAAAGTTCCGCCTCAGAGTGTGAGACGAAGAGGAGTGGGAACGGCTAACTTAGACAACGGCACCCAAACTGATTTTTTTTGTGAGTAGGCAAGTACTCAAGTTCAAGTATAATAGGCTGAGACCTTCCAATACCGGGTGTGTGTACATTCGTGCGATTTGAGCTGCGCGCGGCAAATTGCGCTGCGAAATTCATAGCTATTCTGACGAATTTAGCGCCTATTATTGGGACCCAAACTCGCAGTAAAGTAGATTAGTAGGATTAGCCAGCCATACTAATCTACTCTACTTCGAGTTTGTGCCCCAATAATAGGTGCCAGGGCCGTTCGGAAGGCCACGAACTTCGCCGCGCAATTCGCCGCGCGCAGCTCGAATCGCACGAATGTACCGTCCCCTCCAATACCATGCAAAATGGGCTTATTTCCCGCAAGTCTTTTCACAGCAACCTGGGATGCGGGTCCTGAGTGGAATTCCTGGCTGCGAAGCGCGCTTCCCAGACCCTGGACTCGGGTGCGCTTCGTTGCGTGCATCCGTCGAAATAGGTAATGCCGCAGCCGTCGCATGCGGCGAGTTAGCGGGTGTGGTGCGTTAGGAACGAAATGGTCGCGTCGCGGTGAGAGGGGCGTCGCGCGCGGAGGAGTATAGCAGGATGCAGCAGTAGGTAAGAAATACAAGAACAAAAGTACTAATAGTAGAATTATGCATAAAATAATGATCGCATATCGTCTAAGCTGTATGAAGCTAGAGCTGTAATAACGGCGAATGAGTGGTCCGCGACAGCCGCGTGCGGCAAATCCATTACCCAAAATCGTTCCTAACGCCCGTCTCAACGAGTTAGCCCGCGATACTTGACTGACATCGCAGGTGTCAGTGCGCTTAGCTCACGGCAGTCAGCTCAAAGAGAAGATAACACGGACCACAGCAAATCATCCGGTCCCACTGAACTGAGTGGTACTGTAATGTTATCTGGAGATTGCAGTGGGCTGTACCGCGCGCAAAAAGGACGTGGTGACCTAGTTTCGACGGGCGCGCGAAACGGACGTTCCCCCGTCTGCAATGCGACTCTGAATGAAGGATATGCTGATGGCTTAAAGTCCCGACAAGCATCCTCGTCCATAGGAGGTTCTGAATGTCAAAGAAATGAGGAACGTTTGTTCCGCGCGTTCGTCGAAACTAGGTCACCCCGCCCACTTCTCGCGCGGCACAGCCAATTGGGAACTCGAGATGACATTACAGTAATTCACAGTGTCAGCGGAGCGAAGATTCGCATTATCCGTGTTATGCTCTCTTTAGGCTGAGTGCCGTGTACTAAGCCCCAATCGAATGCCCCACTGACAACAGCGACATCTGCCAAAAATCGCGGGCAGACGCGCCGCGTGCGACGGCTGCGGCGTGACATAGTTCCGACGGACGCGCGGAACGAAGCGGACCCCAAAGAAGTTGTTAAACTCTTGACTAACCTGAGCGACACTTAGCATGATCAGAACAACAATGAACACAATATGCCACCAGCGCATTTTTCTGAAACATATTGCTAGATTTCTTTGTACGGAGTTAACTTTAATACTTTTCATGATAAGGAGGAATAAGGCTTGTTGCTCTGTGAAATGATAAACAACGAGTTCAAAAACCATAGATTCTCAACTTGATGTTGACTTCAATTTAGAATTGTAAAGGTACCGGAAAGCGTATTTTTTGGTCCTCTCAGTAATTTGCTACTTTATATTTCGGAGATGGTGGGTGGCGGTAGTTCTACCCGAAAGTGATATGCTTGCTGGCCACAGGTTCATCCTGGATGAAATCTCAAAACCCGACAGTGTCCCATGTGCTTGCTATATTGAGTAATCCTACAGGGAAAACTCAAAATCGGTTTTATCACCGCAGATCATTGCGGTAGCTTCCAGGCCTGCGGGAGGTCTAAAAATCTC